CCCACTCCTGCATTTTTGCATTTTGTGTGTAACTCCCGCTAATGTCATATGGAGGCTTGAATGCTTCTGTAGCATGACACGAAGTTCCTTGCAGTTCCTTGATCCCCACTGCATTGGTGGGCCTTAGGAAGACGTTCCAGCCTCTCACCATGGGCCCTGAATGGAGGTTTTGCCCGAGTAGGATCTCTCTTGTAGCGGAGGCTCAGCTTTCTGCAGATTGGTACTGCAGGTATCAGTGTCCTACTGCTCTACACAACCGCTGGTCAGGGGAGGTCTGCTGTGACCACCGTTCAAGAGTCTTTGAAATAACTTAAAGGATCAAGAACCATATTTTAGCTTTAATAACATGAGTATATTTTTGGTTCTGGGCCTCTCATTTATTTATGTATTTATAAATATATATTTATTTTGTAAAAGAATAAAAATAGAGAATTGGCAAATCTGCTGCTGAGAAAGACTGATGAGAGGGTAACAGTCCAATAAGTTTGAGGGCAGTAAGTTTGAAAGTGAGATTTAAGACAGTGCAAGAGGTGGTGGCTTGTGGATATCTAATTATCTGAGGTGTTGCTTCATAGTTTAGGTTGTCTTTTTTTTCCTGTTTTCACCCTTTCTTCATGAGAAAACGAAGCTTTTAGCATTTAAGAAAGATACCTGTATCTGTAGCTTTTCCTTGTGGCAGAGATGATGCTGGCTGATTGAATGACTGGTGTACTCGTCTTCCATAGTTAAGCTGGAGGTTCTGTTGTAGGCTATTTGCTCAGGCGTGCTCCTGGAGTGCCATGGTTTTTAATTGTCACCTGAATTACACTGATTGGTAAAAATAATGCTGCTGAGATAATTGGAGGGCCCCAAAGCAAGCTGTAATCACTTCAGCAACCTCAACTAAACCATTTAGGTTAAAATGCAGTTTGAATTAGCACACGCATGGCCAATGTGTATTTTACAAATTACAGGGTAGAAGCCAAGTGTTTTTGAGGGGCATGAGGGGAAAAAGAACAAGTCAGTTCTGATAGGCAAAGCCAGTTAGCTCTTCTCAGCTCATTTAAATTGAGCCTAAAACTTCTAAATAGAAGAGCTATTCCAGTACAGTCTGGAATCCCGTAAATTCTCAGTATATATCTGACAGAATTGGCATCCAGAGTCAAATATAGTTTGATTTTGCAGGAAAAGAATACTTGTCATCAAAATAATTGTTCTTTGTTTGAGTCTGTTAGATTTGTCCCTTGAAGCTAATGACGCATTCATTTTAAAAGTAAAGATTGCGGCAGATAACTTCGCTAGCATTAAGTCTGCCTTTCAGATTGACTTGCACTTGTTTGTTCTTTCTGTTGGGACTAGTGCATTGCATTATTTGTAAATAGAGTAATTGTACAAAGACGAGTAAATGCAACTCTGGGTAAATAGCTCATAAATTATCATATATTGCATAGCCCTGAAATAATAATCCTTTTCTTTTCTGACTGTAAACATTAGACTTTCCCATAAAGAGCTGAGGCACTTCCAGAGCTCATGTTCATAATGTTCTCATTTCTACTGGATGTTTTGATGAGTTGCAAAATGTTTTAGAGGGTCGATTCTCGACATGCAGGACATGTAACGTGGATGTTTGCTCAGACAAAAGCCATGTATTTTGTAAAGATGACTTTTTAATTGACAGATTTTAGTCTACTGTAGATTAAAAGCGTCTCTATGAATGTCTCTTCCAGCTTGGTTTTTATAAAGTCTTTCATTGTCAGGATGAAGTATTTTGAATGGACGAAGGTCCATTCCAAATTTGGAGGTCTTGGTTATTCCAGGATAAGAAATCGCTTACTTGGAACATAGTCATCTTTCTTGCTGGATATGCTGTGTTGGAAAAGTGTCCGTCATTTGATATGAATATAAAATAAAATTAAATGTAATTTTTATTGTCTGATGTTGGCTTTTAATACCTTCCACTGATAGAGCCAATGCGTGGACAACCACAGGTGCTTTACAGTAATGTGTGAACTTTAATGCCTAGGTGATGTATGGAGTTGTCTGCGCGATATTTTCTTCATATTTTTAGTAAGGTTTAAAATGAGTTATATTGAACAGATTCCTATGAGAGCGCCACTGCCTGAAGAGATGGATGGTGACACAATGTTAAGGTAGTTCTAAAGAGTTTATTCTTATAAGCACAGAGTGGACAGTTTTATCTTTGATTTTTGGAATTATTTCTGTAGGCAAAGTAAACCAGATACTTTTGTGGCATGGGTTGTTCTCAACTTTACTTTCTTTGCAATATTAGGTCCGAGTGATGGTGGATTTATGTAACAGCACAAAAGGGATATGCTTAACAGGTACGTTTATTGCCTTAAGCATTGCACCTGTGTTACCTTCAGGAATACTGAGTTACAACGTTTTCAAAGAACTTGAGGTCAATGACTCTGTCAAAGAACTCTGCTACTTACTCCATCAGAATTTATCTGTCCATTGGTTTATTTATTTAAAAAAGATTATAGACGCTACTTTGGCACTTAACCTGTACCTACTTACTGTAAACGCTGGAATTGAAGAAGCTCAGTTGATGCTACTTGGAGCTATGTGTTTCCCATGTAATTTTCATAAGCAAATCTTATAGATGTGGGTGTAAAAATGCTAGTTGAGGTTTAGTCTTGGTATTTTTGTGTATGTCCCCACACTCCAAGGCTGACATGGGATGAACATATATGGTGTGGAAACTTGCTTCCGTTGTTGTAACTGCTATGGAGTAGTGGGACTTAGATGAGCAAGGTGTTTGCCTTCCCTGCCTCGGACCATAGTAGCAGGACATTGGGTTTCACATCGTACAGGTGAGGAGTTGGAACGGCTGACAGCTGGAACAAGAGAAGATGTGAAATGTTTCTATGCGGTTTGGTGACAAGAAGGCCAAGTTGTAGCCAGTTTAAGAGCTATGGTCCAGATTTGAAGTCTATAACAAGACTGTTATGTCCTGTGTTCTTTTTGGAAATGAGAAGATTAGAAATGAGCCACTTCTTAGGAGCTTAAGAAAACACTTCACTTGCTGTCTGGTGTGTGTTTTCAAATGGCTGATTTCAGCATAAATAGGAATTACCAATAGTACACATGGATGTTAAATACTACTTCAGAAATTATAGATCAGTTCTGATTGCAAATGAGGCTGAACCACAGGCAACCTAGAAATTTGTTTCTTTGGGCTCCAGACTTCTGAATTCATGCTACTTGATGTCTTCTGCACCTTTTTGCTCTCTTGACACTATTACGTTTTGTCTCTGTTTACTGGCTTTCTCTGCTGTAGGCTTCTGTGATGCTACTTTTCAAGCACCTTTGTTACTTATTTTGTGCTTATACAAGGATTATTAGGATCCTCAGATTTCAAGATGAGGAAGTAATTGAACATACTAATGGATGTAATATTGTAGTGTGGGAAAAATGGTCATTTACTGAGAAGTTGACAGAAAGACGTTAACTGATATTACTGCCTGTACTAATTAAAATGAGTAATTGCTGTAATGGTATTACAAAATGGTTTTCACTTTACTCATAATGCTTTCTAATTAATGCTGAAAATTGTCAGCTTTGGGGAAATCTAGTAATTAATGTTATTTTCTGCTGTAGAGAGTTCTGTTGAAACAGGACGGTACTTTGTTGGCTGGATAAAAATGTTCACAGAACTAATTTGATTCTTTAATTGCAACTACCACCTTTCTTTGTGTTCTCCTAACCTGCTTTTCCTGGTTGGTTTTGTTGTTTGTTTTAACATGCATATTGGGGATCACATAAGAAATTTTGTTACAGAAACATTTTCTCATTTACTCTTGCTTTATTCTTGACTTCTATGCTTTCTTCTCATTAAGACTCTGGACTTGAACTACGTCAGAGAGAGCGAGACAGATTTAATTGTGTTACATGTTGTTTCATTTGAAGCAAGTCCAATTTCTAGTACACCAACCAGGTTCTGTGGGAAGCTTGGTCTAGTCTGGAGAACAGTTACATCTGAAAAGTCTGATTGTGATTTAGATGTAGTTAATAGGAATGATGACTTTTTAGAATTTTTTTAATTTAAATAGTCTGAATCCTGAACTGCAATGAAATATCTGTAAAACACAGAGAAGTGTAGCATATATTTTTGATGTGTATTTTCAACAGGATTTTTAACTGTGACATTAATCAGTATTGTAAAGCTATTCTTCTTTTGCTGTAACGGGATCTTGGAGGACACTTTTATGTAAAGGAAATGTAAAGATTGTTAGGGGCCTTGCATCCGTGGCATTTAAAGACACCTAAGCCCCTGACGGTGAGATTGCATTGTAGAGGTGGTTGTTTATCAAACCTTTGTCAACTGAAATTTGCAAAAAGCAAAACGTACGTGCATATGTAATTGCTTTTAAGGATACTTTTTCAGTAAGGCTGAGTTTCTGCTAATGCTCGAATAGTTGTTTACAATACAAAGCAGTTAAATCCATAGGTGTTCATTTTGAAATTTGAGAGGCTTTCCTCCCTTTGTACTGTTCTGATCTAATGCTAATCAATTCAGTTTGGAATTGCTTTTGGTGTTTTGCTAGGTTAACCTCACTATTTCTTCTTTTTTGTGTTCTTTTGCTTGTTCTTGTTGTAGGCCCCCCGGGTCCCCCAGGTAAGATACTTGGACAATTGCAGTAACATTTTTGGGTAATAGAAACAGTTGCTGGTACAAAATGTTGAAATGTAGAAATATATCTTTTATAGAATATTCTTCCTTTGGTAATTAGAATGAGGGAGGGTTGAATAACTTTCTGCCTTTATAATTTTTGTGTTTAAGTGAACTTGTGCCCCTTCTAAGAGGGGGAGGTTTTAGACATTAAGCTTTTCTAGAGAGGGAATAGAATAGTTTCAAATTTGCTAAAACATATTTGATCAAAACCTGATGGACTTAAGAGTGTTTAAGTAGCATTTAGTTGAAGAGATGAGTGTGTATATATATATATATATGTAAAACCCGAGTAAATGGATATTATAATTTAACACTAAAAGAATCTCTTTAAAAAACATCAGTTAGTGATTCCACCCTCCCACCTCCCTCATAATTTTTCCTCCTTTCTTATTTAATTCTCCCTTTCTGTTCTCACTCATGTGGTTGCTAGGCTATTTGAATGGTTATTTGCTTTCTTTCTGTGCTTCTTTAGCTGTGAGTCTGCTTAGAATAATTCTCTGTATCAGAAAAGTATCAGGTAGTTTTTGTATGTGGGGGTTCAAATAGCGATGAAGAGGGAGTGATGATCTTCTCTACCGGCCAGTCACGGTTTGGCACTGCAGCATTCTGGACAAGTCGGTGAATGCTTTTCTTGTGTTACAGTTAGTCTGGCCAGTATCATAAGCAACATTAAAGCTTGTGTGGCCTGTGGAAGATGTTATAGTTGGTGCCAAAGTCAGAAGTAGGATGGGTTCCACTGTGTTTGCCCTTCAAATGGAATCCAAAAGGCTGATCTGTGCTGGCCTTAATGCAAAATGTGTGCGTTATATCAGTCGGTTTTCTTGTGCTAAGGCCAGGGCAAACAGGCGCCTTAGCTTTAGGTTTTGTTACCTGGGGTTTTGTTTGTTTATTGTGGGTGGGTGGTTTTTGTTTGTATTGTTTGGTTTGGTTTGGTGGTGGGGTTATTTTTTTGTACGGAGTTGTTTGTTTGTTTGTTTGTTTGTTTTTAGAGGATACTCTGTTGGCGCAGAGAGCATAATGGCCAATTAGAGCATTCTGTGTCTCTGAGGAATATATATAAATGTACTATATGTAAATATGGTAGATTTAAAGATAGATTGTATTTAACAGTGAAAATTCAGTTACGCTGTTTGGTTTGTTCAGGGCCTCCTGGACTTGATGGACTGCCTGGCTTCAATGGATCAGATGGAGTCCCAGGTGTACCAGGACAAAAGGGAGAACCAGGAATAAATGGAAAAAGAGGAAAAATAGGTATTTTTTATTTTTTGGTGGTTGTTTAAAAAAGAAACCCTTTCTTACTGTTATATTCTGATGTAGTTACTTTTAGACCTTTGTACAGGGAGGAGGGTTTCAGTGTTTACAAAGAATTTGCATGTTACAGAATTCTGTAGCATTCCTTGCTTTTTACTAAGCTTTGATAGATTGCTTCAGGCTTACTCCACGGTGAGGAAGATTATATATATATACTATAGAATATTGCTAATTAAAACTATTGAATGCACTTAATTGAATCACAGTATTCTCAACTTGAGTATTCTACTTGCTAGTAAATACTGTTAATGTAAGAATATTTCTGTTCCCTCAACCTGCCAACAAAATGGCCCTTTGACTTCAGACATCTCAAGAAAAGAAAGCCAGAGTTTGGGGCTGAAAGTTGTTACATGTTACCACAGTTTTGGTCCCAGATTCGTAATAACTATGGTAGGAGCAGTATATTTCCATATTTTTCTTCTTTTCTATATTGTCCATTTAGGCTGGAAATTTTTGGAGCAGCTTTTTTTTTTTTTTCCTTCAGTCTCAGATAAACTTTGTAATGCAGTAGGGTGTCTAGGTACTATTTTAATGTAGCTGACACAGATAGAGCAGCTCTGCTAAATAGCCCACAGGCTGTGTGCAGCCCACAAGCAATTTTCCATGCTGGTCGAGGAAACTATTTGCCCTAACTTGCTGATTTCACCGTGACGTGTTTCTGCTAAGAACAGAGGGAACCAGCAGCAGAAGTGCTGTCATCTCTTAGCTGTCCAGCTCACCAGTGTGTGAGGAAATGGGACAGGGCAAAGGCTGACCACAGAGACCAGTAGCCGGCCTGGCACGCTGGGTTCAACAGCTCACTGCGTGATAGCTGAAAGAGCAGGTAGGCAGTTGCTGTGCTCCGAGCCTGTAAACTGCTGTGAAGCTCTAAAGCCGCCACTGGTTTATCCACTGACTTACCTGGTGCTCGCTGGGTGTGTGCAAGCTCTGGTGCCTTCAAGGCAGAGTGAGAGAGCAGCGGGTTGTGCATGGTAGGAGGCTAAGGAGGCAAGAGGGCGTCAGAATGGTAGAACTGAGAGGGGTCAGAGAAGAGGAAGGGTAGACAGGTTGATGTTAGCAGGTCGGTATTTATAGTGGCCCATCTGTTATTCTGGCTTTTGCTCCTAGCTGTGGGGGCTGGCTGGCAGGTACAAGTGGAACAATTGTCTACTATATCTTGAGACACTACATGGTCTGTCGCTTCAGTATCCCCCATAAATTTTTAAAGTTGTAGATGAAGGTGAGAACTAGTCTTCAGAGTCAGGTGGTGACGGTGCCAAAGACACATTTCAGATTTCACCCCAAAACTGTGATTCTGTTTCTAATTTCATAAAATCAATTCAAGTAGTAAATCCATAACTAGAAAACCGAGCATTTTCTTCTGAAGTATTAACAAATTCTAATTTATTTGAAACCTACGGCCTGCAAGAACACTGACATTTCTGTTTGTACGACTGTTACGTTTCTCTCTCCTAGAGGAAGAAAATAGTGACTGCTGGTAAAGTAGAGGGTGCAAGGTTTTGGTGTGTCAGTTGTACAAACACACCATTGTTTTCCTTATTGCAAAACTAAATCACACAGGACAAAGAAATACCTTGTTAAATATGTTACTTTGCTAAATGACCAAGTGCAAAAAGTATGTGGACTGATCATGCTTCTAACAAGCGTAGAGGGGGGGATTATAGTAGCCATGTGGAAATGTAACTAGGTAGCTGTACCTGTGCTCTGTTGGGACAGTAGAAAATGTTACAAGTGTAATGTGTGTTGTAATGTTAGTGCGTAATTACTTTAAGAAAAAGTCAAGAGGAACCATGAAAATGTCCTTCTTCAGTGCCTTGCAAACGTGAAATAAATATATTACTTCACATAGAATCACAGAATGATTGGGGTTGGAAGGGACCTCAAAGTTCATCCAGTTCCAACCCCCTGCCATGGGCAGG